AATTTGGTGGCTTAGAGCAGGAACTTACTCGCTTAGAGTGAGATATTTGGTGGTTCAAGGGTGGTCCTTGACTTAGTTCACTTATAACATATTCTTGAGCACTTTGAGCAAATTCCTATCACTCAGAGCAAAGATATCATTGCTTAAGTGACCAAATTGAGACCCTTAGGGGCACTCTTTATCCAAGCTCACTCCAGGTAAATTGTGAACACTCAACGCGAATTCTCATCATTCCAAGTGACCTTTGAGACGCTTGAAGTGTCTGTTTCAATTTTTAGTTGAAATCTTTTTCACATATCTTGTGGTGATAGTTGTTTTACATAATTGAATGAGTGACATTATGAATTGAACATGTATATGATAGTAGTATCTGTTACATGTGTATATTGATGATTTAACTATTGATAGTTAAATTTTGTTAAATGAAAGATGATAGTTCTATGCGTATTGATTTGGGATAATATATATAGATGTTTGTATGGTTGAATTGTTGATGAACATTGGTATACTATACTTGAATGAGTTGTTAAGCATTGGTATGCTATATTTGATTAGTGTGATTTGATCTCTAAATTTATTGACCTAGGGTAATGTATATAAATGATATGTGTTGAGGTATTGATGTTGAGAATGTCATAGGAATTAAAGCATGTTAATTGACTTAGGACTAGAAGAGAGAGTCTTGTTTTGAAAGTTGAAGATCCCATGTAGGGAATCTTATTATGGTTCTCTAAGAAGCTAATTGTTGAAAACCCTCATTGAGTAGGTGTGAAACTCTTGGAGTAGGTTTGTTGAGTCTTTTTTTAAGTCCTTAGTCAATGTTGGAATTAAGTATGAAGTTGAGGGTTACAATCGTTAATTGATTATTGAAAAGGTTGTGTGGTGCCTCAAGGATAACTAGTTGGGCTAATTTCATAAGTGATTTGGTAATGCATACCAAAGTCATGGTATGCCTATACCTAGCTATATTAATTCTGATGGTAGAACCAAACTTTCATAGTTTAAGTGACGACACTCAAGAAATTAGAGGATATGGATTAGTATTCCAATTTAGCTGTCGATCTAGTAAGCATGAAAATAACCAGGTTGGTTTGTTAGGATCAAATCACTTAGATTGTTCATATGTGTTAGGAGATCTTCATAGTTGAATGTGTAACGACACATTAGTTGTGATATGGCGTGAGTTGATTGTTGTTCATATGCACTGGATGACAATGTTGTTGTATGATATGGTTGTGGTGTAAGTTTGATTTGCTTGGATGTTGAAATTTCAAACTTGTTGATATCTTATTAATTGTTGTATAATTGTAAGTCATGTGGTGTGTTTGGTTGGTTTACATGTTGGTAAGCAGTAAAGATGTTCTTTCCAATACTCATATTCTTTTTGAAATATAACTTACCCTTGTATATTTTCTTGGGGTTTGAACTACAATGATCATGTTTACATGTGAGTAGGGTATGGTTAGTTGGAGTTGAGCTTTTTGAGCTTCTCGGTGGGCCATATTATTGGCGCTGTAGTCTTTGATTACTTTTGTTGGTCTGTATAAATGTTGCTTGATCAATAACTTAAGATTTTATTTTCGTACTTATCGAATTATTGTGCATATATTGTTTATATACTTGTATATTTGTTTCAATTACATTTATATATACATATTATAATGTATATATCCAGGTAGTGTGAGTATATAATTCTAAGTATGTTCGTTATTTTGCTAGTTGTAGGTGATCCGTAAATAAGATGACCAGGTGTTGAGATTTCCGTTAAAACCACTTTTGTTATCACTTTAAATTACTTTTGTTTTGTCAACGGTCTCAAACACGGCAAGTATACGGCCGTTCAAGTAGTAAAATTATCGTATCTACAGGGATTAGAAGGTAACATAAGCATTTATTGACTATTCGTGACTAAAGAATGATTCCAAATTCATAGTTTGTCATGCAAGTTGAATCAAAAGTTATGACTATTGGAATGAAAGCTATAAAAATATTTGTTTGTGAGTGGATAAGGGTAGAAATGGTATAATGGTATTGTGAGGTTGTGGGGTCAAATTTCACCAAACGTCAGACTAATGAATCCTTGATTTCTTGTTACATACATTGCTTAGTCAACCCATAAGTTTACTCAAACCTAATCCCTTAGAGAAAGAGCCTAGGTGCGGATAATGAATATCAATCCCTTGAGTATTCAATACCTACACCCGCATTACAGATTAGGGTTTAAGACTACTAATGGGTTAAGCTCTATCCCTAGATACAATCCCCACTAGGCATATGTTTCAGAACTAGTTTCAATGGTATTTCTCAATACTCAATGGAACCTTAAATCATGCAAAGGGTGATCAATCCAAAGCAAGCATTAAGCATAGAAACGTACACAACAAAGAATGAAACAATATGTATATATATCATTAAAATGTAAGGATTACATTAGAATTCGTTGGTTACATCTAACCCCACAAAAATGGGTAGAACCACTCAACAATGAGGGTAAAACAAAAATAGAGATGGAAGAGAGAAATGAAGAAACCGAAGGAAAGATCCACACACGAACGTTTCCAAGCTCTGAGAATCCCTTCTACAGCTCCAAGGAGGCGCTCCTGCGTGAATGAGGGAAAAACCCTTGAAAATGGATTCAAATACGAGCTTGGGGAGTCAGATTAGGGTTCACGCGCCCGGCGCATAAGTTATTGCGCCGCGCGCATGGCCTTCCACATACTCTCTGCCTTAGGACACGCCCGGCGCAATTCAATTTACGCCCGGTGCAATGGCTTCCAAAGGTGAGATACTCTGTTTCGCTCGCCCGGCACGGGTCATCGTGCGCCCGGCGCAGAACCTCTTTTCTGCTCCTTAGCTTCTTAGATTTCCAATCCTAAGAGTTTTCAATCCTCAATTCTCTAGCTCAATACCTGCACAAAAATGAGGTGTATTAAGGTATTGTTAGCTAAATTTGGGTTAGTTATATCTACACACAAAATAAACCAAAAAGAGAACAATTATATTGCAATGGTTCAGAGGATGAGTGGAATTGTTCAATAAGTCTCATCAAAAAGAAGTATAATTGAGACTTAACACCAGGTCATTACATATTTTAAATATTATTTTGTATGTTAAAATAAATATATGATAAGCTACCTAATACGTTTAGAATTTATGCAAATTTGTATACTTGATTTAATTAATAATATTATCAAATATTATGCTTGAATCAATTGAATTTGCATTCTATAAAAAAATTATTAAAAGTGTTATTTCACGAATTTGACATCATGGTGTCAACGAATCCTAATCCATAATGAATATTATTTCATATTATTAATACTTATATACATGATAAATAAATAGGTTTAAATATAATTTTTCCTTATAACACCGAGTTTGTCCTTAACGACCACTGCCTTTGTGAGGTCACCACTTGCTGCCACCTCACCATAGAGGAGTTTGGCCTCAAGCTTAGCTATTCCTCCATTGTACCGAAGTTCATGCATTGCAAGAGCATCCACCACTTCATTAGTGCCATTGCAAGCGTCACATCTTTCAAGGCCAAGAAGAATTGCGTTAGTTGGCTAGGAGATCAAGATAGCGGTCACCTACTACGATCGTCGCATAACACCTCAACAAAAGAAGGAGGCCTATGGTCCATTTTTGCCATTGATGACAATCAGAACGACATTCTATTGCTCGGAGAGAATGTGTATGAAGAGTATGATGAAGTGTCTCAGTAAAATACCTTTTAAAATAAATTTACCTATATGGTAATGATGAAGTAAAATATAATGAATATACTGTGTATTCCATTTATTACATAAGTCTTTTTTTAATAAAAATTGACAACAAAAACTATTTTTAAAACATTATAAAAGATTAAGAATGAAACAACAAAAAAAAATTACATAAACTAAAAAATTAAAAATTAAAAATAATATGGACAAAAGTTATATTTAAGTATATATATATATATATATATATATATATATATATATATATATATATAATGATATTAGTAGTGGGTTTAGAAGATGTTATAAAATCATATTATATTTCAATATTAAAAATTATGATATTGTTATTTTAATATTGGTTGAAGTAGTCTCTTGATGAATGATGAGTAAGGTAGGAAGTCCACTTTTAAAAAGATTACTTTCCTATCCATATTGAAAAGAATTAAATCGTGATTTATGGAATAAAATGTAAAGAGTGGGAAAAGCGGGCATGGTCAATGTAATTGGAAACAGGAAGTTATAGAGAGCTTTGAGTGATGGACATGGTTATGGAGAAGGAAGGTAAGGTAAGAGTAGAGAGTAGAGAGTAGAGAGTAGAGAGAATCTATGCCCACCATCTGTTGGATGACTGAATGGCCAAAGACAAGGGTCCCACGCAACAATCCACAATCACAATCCACACCACCTCAATATCCCCTCGAAAACATTTTAAAAAGTAAAAACACCACCACCACCTCACTCTGCTCCTCCTCATGTCTTCACCTTCTCCGCCAACAACTAAAACCCAAACCCCTTTTTCATTTTTTTATCATCATCATCATCCTCTCTCTCAACTAAACTCCAAACCCAAACACCTGCTGTGCTTCCCAGATAACGCTACTTTTTTATATTCCCCTTTTTTCTCATTTAATAATAATATTATTATTATTAATTAATATCATATCACACACTCCTCTCCACTTGTATTATATATATTCTTATTATTATTATATATGCTCGCCGGCGATGCCCACGCCGGTCAGCATAGCCAGGCAATGCTTGACGGACGAGGCAGCGCGTGCGCTCCACGACGCGGTAGC